GCGAGAACCTCTGCCTCTACTGAATAAACACCGGCTAGAACTCTCCCGGCCTCTACCTGAATAAACACCCCGGCGAGAACTCTCTGCCTCTACCTGAATAAACACCCGGCGAGAACTCTCTGCCTCTACCTGAATAAACACCCGGCGAGAACTGCTCTGCCTTAACTGACTAAACGCCCGGCGAGAAGCTCTCTGCTTCTACTGCAATAAAACCCGGCTAGAACTCTCTACCTCTACTGAAGTAAAAACGCCGGCGAGAATCTCCTGCCTCTACTGATATAACACCCAGCGAAACTCTCTTGCTCTTACTGAATAACACCGCCCCGGCTAGAACTCTCTGCCTTTACCTGAATAAACACCCGGCGAGAACTCTCTGCCTCTACCTGAATAAACACCCGGCGAGAACTCTCTGCCTCTACCTGAATAAACACCCGGCCCGAGAACCCTGCCTTTACCCTGAATAAACACCACGCGAGAACATCTCTCTCTACGCTGACATAACACCCGGCGAGAACTCTCTGCCTTACCTGAATAAGACAGGCGAGTAACTCTCCCTCTAGCCTGAATATAACACCGGCGAGAACTCTCTTGCCTCTACCGTGAATAACACCCGTGTCGAGAAGCTCTCTCCTCTACCTGAATAACATCCTGGGCGAGACTCTCTGCCTCTACCTGATATAACCACCCGGCGAGAACTCTCTGGCCTCTACTGAATACACCCCGAAGAACTCTCTGCTCTACTGAATAAACACCCGGCGAGAAACTCTCTGCCTTCGTATCTGAATAAATAACACCCGGCGAGAATCTCTGCCCTCTACTGAATAAACACCCGCGAGAACTCTCTGCCTACTACCTTGAATAAACAACCCGCGTCCGGCGAGCAAACTCTCTTGCTTCTACCTGAATAAACACCGCGCGAGAACTCTCACCATCTATGAATTAAACAGCTGCTCCCCGGCCCCGCGAGAACTCTCTGCCTCCCTACCTGAAATAAACACCCGGTTGAGACTCTCTGCCGTCTACTGAATAAACACCCGGCGAGAAACTCTCCTGCTCTACCTGAAATAAACACGCCGCGAGAACTCCTGGCCGGTCTACCTGAATAAACACCCGGCTAGAACTCTCTGCCTCTTACCTGAATAAACACCCGGCGAGAACTCTCTGCTCTACCCTGAATTAAACACCTCCCGCACACAGTGTCCCGGGCGAGAACTCCTCTGCTTCTACTTGAAAAACACCCGTGAGAACTCTGTGCTTCTACCTGAATAAAACACCACGGCGAGAACCTCTCTGCCCTCCTACCCTGAATAAACCACCCAGGCAGGTTTTTGCGAGACTCCTCTGCTTACTACCTGAAATAAACACCCGGCGAGAATCTCTGCTCTACCTGATAAACACACGGGGCTAAGAACGTCTCTGCCTCTTACCTGAATAAACACCCGGCGAGAACTCTCTGCCTCTACCTGAATAAACACCCGGCGAGAACTCTCTGCCTCTACCTGAATAAACACCCGGCGAGAACTCTCTGCCTCTACCTGAAGTAAGACACGCGAGAACTCTCTGCCTCTACCTGATAAACACCGCGAGAACTCTCCTGCCTCTACCCTGAATTAAACACCTCGGCGAGAACTCTCTGGCTTCTACCTGAATAACCCCGGTGAACAAACAATGCTGCCTCAGTACCTGAATATCGACAGCTGAAGCAACGTCCTCTGAGAACTCTCCGGAAGATTGTCGAACATCTCCTCCAGGTGTTTGGTCTGCTCCGGTTGCCCCGGTAACAGCTCTAGCTTCGACGCGACCTCGGCGGGCGTGAAGCCGGCTTGCATGTAGCCGGCGGTCATCTTCAGTGACAGAGGATGGTGGCCACACTTCTGAACCAGTCCATCGAGCTCTGCACTCGCCAGCGCAGGCGACTGCAAACGCAACACACGCACATCGTGCTCAGTACGTTAGCCTTCATTTGAATGTCGCCCTATATCTTCATAAATTATATTTGTGCCTCTCATGCATGCAGCTCAGAGCTATATATGCACAGATATAAAAGTGATAATACGATTGTATACATAGATATGAACTTACAGTTTACCCTTTGAATTATTAGTTGAACAGTTACCATTAAATTATATTAACATGTACAAGGTTTTACACATTTGCCCTGTAAGTTTTTATTCGTGCCTCACCGATTTAAACGTACATAGCAATCCTATAGAATCCGTGTGATACGAGTGCGTAAAGATGCACACAAGGTGTTAGCCAGGAAAAAAATCTGTGAGTCTCACAATCTGAATGAAAGCGATGCGAGGCGAGCGCAAATTTCATCCGTCTCATCCAAGAATAGGCCGTCCAAAAGATGGGTAGACGGGTTTCTGGCTAACACACTGGATACACATAGAGATGGCATACAAACGCTCGCGATCACCTTGATGTGGGTGCATCTCTGCAGCAGTTTGAGAGAGTCGGCATGCGATAGAGGAGTCAGCTTCATCTCTGTGAGTCTGCCTGCGACGTCGCTGCTAACGTCAGTGTTCCTGCCTGCCGCTCTGTCCTCATCGTCCAGGAGGCAATACCGGCTCGTCAGTAAAAGCTTCACCTACAAGCCAATCCGTGGGCAGGCTTTAGTTTATGAAATGCACACATGTATGCACGTGCACACAAACACAAAAATGCATGCATGCACACAGGCACCCATAGACACGTACAAACACAAATAGACATGCAAGCCACCTACAAGCCAATCCGCGTGAGTACGGCAATGCAACGAATGAAGCCGGTACGTGTTGCGAATAATCACCAACAGAGGGAGTCCCCGAGCTACGAGCGTCCGTGCTTACAAATGACGCTCCACGACTTGCGAATGCGACCTACAAACTATGACTTGCGTACAAATATAAACTAACGCTTAAACGAATTGAGTTTCTGAGGCTGGAAAGAAGTTATTAAGGAAAGTTTGGACGATATGAAACAAATTACAAAGAAAATTTGCAACATGTGTTCATAGTTCGGGAATCCCTATATATGCACTAATTTTTACCAGTGAAATACAAAATGCAATCCTCATTTAATACTATTTTTGTTCAGAGTCAGATGTATCAGTTGGTGAAAATTAAAAAGTCACATAGACACCCACGGACACACACACATACAAATAGACATGCATATTCGTTACTATTTTTTGTTGATGCTTATCAACTAACTAGCAAAAGCACACAACACTACACTATACCTTCGGATTCGCTATGCCTGCAGCCTCAGTCAGAATGTTTTTGAAGTCCTGTCTTTGCGTATTTGGTTTAGAGATAGTTCCTGGTTTTAGAAGCTCATCTACATTATCCAAATACAGGACTGTTGCTGCAAAGAAAAAAGACTGCTTATGCAATATGCATGGCAAACTTTAATTCCATGGGTCGCACGAAGGCAAGAGTTATCATTTTTTCAAATTCAAATTTGCTATTCAATCCTGTGCACACTAGATAAGTTGGCAGACCATGCACACATACATATGAAATTAATATTAATATATATTAGATATATCTTTAATTAGAATACATAACCTCAATGCAGCCATGATACATGGGTTGCACACAATGAGGACTGTTCTTAGGAAGGAAAAAGTGTTCCCTAAAGATCCACATAATCCATAATATTCAGGTTGTCTGAAGGCATTTCAATGTTATAAATTATCAGTGAACTTAGTAGAAAAGTAAATATATAACAATTATTACATTAGTAAAACAAGTTAAATATGTGCATACTTCTGTACATGTATACTACGCTGTAAATTGACCATTGCATTGCCATTGAACCACAGCAGTAACCCTGTACTACAGCATAAAACTGTAATATTACACTCACGTGGTACATCATGGATATGATGATACACAATAGTCCATGTACTACAGAATGACCTTTACAATGTCTTGTCCGCAGCACTGCACCATGGGACCACAGTAACCATGCCATAGACACTGAACTACGATGTAGAGAGATAACTAATTAGATATACAGCACTTACGATGAGTCATAAGCTGAAGCTCAGCTAGTAGTTGTTGAGGGGCAAACTCTGCCGTGACCAGTCTATTGAGTCTCAATGCAATCGCACAAGCGGCATCGTTTACTGAAGATTTTGCTCTACGTAAATGCAAACGTATTTGTGTCATACATAAAGGTGAACACTGCATCACAACTGCATACACTACAACACAACTACATACACTACAAGATCCAAATCTAAAGTCTGTAAGCGCATACGTATCTGTCCAGCTTGAAGTGCACAAGCTTGTTAGAATTACTTCTAGATTGCAAACACTTGACTTTCCAATTCGTTTAAATGGTTGAATTTAATTGCACTGAGTATGTACACTATGTAGTACTTTTCACTACCTTCCCACTAATGTTCTTTCCCAGTTCTGCCCCTACATTGATTTTTACAATACATATATAAATTTGTACATTCTAATTGACTACTAACACTGAAAATTATTTCTAACTTTATATAAACCAATTAACTGTTTAATGTTAATTAATTACCTGAGATCAATTCTGTAGGTAGTGACACTATCTTCCCATGCACACGCGTGTACAGCAAGTGCCGTCTTGCCAATGCCCAACATCCCAGTGATACAGATAACTGAAACATACGACAAAAATTATGTTTATGCAATGATTTAATTGATATCATACTACGAAATCTGCTACATTTGCATTGCAGAACTTGTAGCTAAGTTGAGTTAGTTTCCCTATATGATGGTCATTCACATACCTGCTACATGGGTGCCTGGCTTGAACAACAGCTCCCTGAGAAGAGCCAGCTCTTTCACTCGCCCAACAAACGTATCGTCACTCTCTTTTCCCAGTATAGACTTTCTCTGCAATCTGTACTGCATCAACTTGGCTTCATATTCTGCTATTCTATCCTTTAAAACATGACGGTAAATGGCTATCAGTGAGCCAGCTGTCATGCAGGTAAACATAATGTGATCTGGTCGGTTAATATGGAGGGTTACAGAGAAACATAACACACACAAGGATAAATTAGAAAACGATTATTTAATTATAAACTCGTATTGGAAAGGCGATATCGCAGTCACTAACAAAAAAACTACCATTATTACTACTTCTACCACATGCATACATTTGTATGCATGGTCACATATCTTTTTCACAATATATATTAGCATGAACACCTACATGTATAAAGTATATATATATATATATATATATATATATACATATATTCTATATGCTATCTATATACCATACATATACACATATATGTTTAAATATCATATCTAAGCATATATATCATATGCATGTTTATATTACTATAGTCATTATAGTTGAGTGTAATTTACTTTGAAGGGGACCAGTCCAAAGTCCTGACTGGCATGGTAATGCATCTTTTCCATGAGATTCTTGAGGAATGGAATCATCTCATCCTCACCATAGACACTCTCCAAGATGTCGAAGAAAGTCTGGTTCGGATTCTGAGAATCTCTGTAATGAAAAATTGTACATACATATATTTCCTTGCAAGTATCACATGTATATGGTATCCGGAATGAATAAATATATTTTTTGTTTTTGTTTTTAATCACTGCATACTGATGTTATGATGATCATCTGCATGCTATCTGCAATGAACATGAATCTGCATCAGGTGGTATATGTCAGATATAATGTATCCGTACAAACAGGGTTGTGACCTCAAACTTATATAACACATCGAGTTCATCCATTCTCCCAGTGTGTGTGTCTGTGTGTGTGTGTGTGTGTGCGTGTGTGCGTGTGTGTGTGTGTGAGTGGGGGGGGGGGGTTCTGACCAATGTCTTTTTGCCAACTGGGGTCCCTAGTGCTAGACTTAGTGAAGTAATCTCGTGACTTGTGGCAGCGTACAATAATGAATCACATTAATCATTAATCCCAATAATAAATTGCGGTAACACAAACTTTTCTGATGACCATCTAATCACTGCAAGACATAATAAATGTTTTCTCACT